GTATTTGCAAAAGTAACCACATCCCTCCTTTATGTGCTGTCTCATCAAGAGTGTAATTGTGCAACAGCTTTAGAATGAGGATGATCCTGGGGGGACTGAACCAGAGATCCTTCATTTCTTCTTTTTTCTCTTCATTGCTTTTCTCCTTGTGTAGCTGAGTTTTGGGAGTTTTCCTGTTTTCTGTATCTCTGTTTGTTTAGGTCACGTCTGGACTGCAGCTTTAAGCCTATGAAGTTTTGTTTTTTGTTTGTTTTTTGTTTGTTGTTTTGGTTTTTTGTTTGTTTTTGTTTTGTTTTTTGTGTGTTTTGCTTGTTTTTTGTTTGTTTTTTGTTTGTTTGTTTTGTTTGTTTTGTTTTTGTTTTTTTGTTTTGGATAGGATTTGAAAAATGGAAGAAGAGAAATTATAACAAGAAATGCTTTTAAAAGTTTGGTTCACTTTATTGTTGTACATCACCATAGTCGTTTGTGCTTGGTGGTAAGCAGCCCTGATGATATCCTCCTACTTTCTGATCATTCATCTACCACATTTGGTCACTCTGTTGGAGGTCCTATCTGAAAGCTAAATTTACAAGAAAACTTTCAGATTCCCATTTCTGAAGCTCCTTGAAATGAGATGGGAAAATTACAGCAACATGGAGTAATCTTAATAGCAAATGAGTTTGGTTTCATGGGTTTGGTCTCTAGTAAGTCTTATAATTGTTAAATTCAACTAGCTTCTTTTATTTTATGACATCCATTAAAGGAAAAACCTCTATTAGATAAATGAAGAATAGAGTGCATCCCCAGATATCATACTAAAATAACTTGACGCTGCTTCAAAAGACTTCAGTACTTGGAAGCAACACTTGCAAATATTAAAAATTGCTCTGAGGTCACTAGTGCATTTTTCCCCCAGCACTTCTTTTTGCTGCAGTAGGGGGCCAACAATTTTGGAATCTGAGTTACATTCTAATACTGATTAGGGAACTCTTAAGAAAATAAGCTTTACCTTATCCTATTACTTTAGAACTTTCATAAAACATTTCCCCCAAGGAAAAAAAAAAAAGTATACATTAAAAAAAGAAAAATCATTTAACATAAATTTCAGGATAGCATAGCATATTTTAATCACAGATAAGGCATAAGTAAAAGTGGATAAAATATCTGAAGGAAGAAATATATGCTTCGATTTATAACTTAAAATTAAAGTTGCTGAGAAGGACTGCTAGATTTATCTCTCTATTGTTTCCTTTTGAATCTGCATTCCTGTGCTAGGAATTAGGCCTAAGAGAGAGGAAGGCTATACTTTTAGCCTAGCCGGGGGCCAAGTACCAATCAGTCCATCTGAACATTCCTCTTCTGTTAAAGGCAAACCTTACTCTAATAGAAAATCTCAGCTATGTCCCAGGACAATGCTACTTCAAAGGTCAGCATGTCATTCATGTTTAAATTTCAGGGACATAGTAAAACTGACATTTGAAACCACAAGACACAATGTTTCTTTGGGATTATTTTTACATGTAACCAAGACTGGCTGCAAGGGGTTGTGCAGTCAAAAATGACATGGGGACAAGACACAGAGAGAGGTTACAAAGGAAAGGAAAAGTAAGGCAATTTATGCAAAGAAAAAATGTTTCTAAAATGCACAGAGAAAATTAATATGCTATTCCGTTCTCAATATATGGTAGCTTGATTCAAGAGGGAAATATAGATTTTGAGGAATGTCAGCATGAAGATAAACATCACACCAGTAGGTCAAGAGGTTGGGGAAGAGGATATGTTCACCACATTTTCTGGCTTTCTGCCCTATCTATGAAGCTGAACACAGTTGTACAACAAGTTATATGTGGTTATGATAATCACATTTAGAGACATATTGGCTATTTTGTTATAGAAAAAAAAGAAAAAAAAAAAAAAAAAAAGTACAGCTGTATCTCTCCAAGAGGAAATGCAGATTTGCTTCTAAGCAAGCTGACACAGCATAATGGCAATCTGGGCTGTCCCTTACTCAGCTGCACAGAGATCTTTCTTTCGTTGCATTCTATTTGTGTTAATGCGGGATGAACCTCCTAGTTGCCTAATTTATATTGACTGCTTTGAAGAAAAGCACGGATAGTGTGATTTTTTATCTTTTTATTTTTAATGATTCTTTTACCAATACAGTGTTGTAGGGTTTTTTTGTTTGGTTGGTTGGTTTTGTTCCTTTAGTAACACTTCTTAATTTTACTTGCTTCCTAATGCAATTAAAAAATAGAAGTTTCCATGATTCTCAGATAAGAGTTAATTTTTTCTGCACATTTCTATATACTCTGTCACACCATATACAATATATATAAATACATCTGTTTTCTCAATGCTACCAAATTTAAAGAGGGTTCAAACTGAAATACTGATCCATCTTAGCCAAGATCCCCATACTTTGATGTAAATCTATGTAGGTTGTTCTAAAATAGGATTTATCTTTATCTATTGCTTTGAGTCCCTTTTTCTACTCCTTAGTCTGAAACACTCTTGCATAAGGTATTAAGTATAATTTTCTGTGGACTTAAGAATTATTTCTACCTCTCATAATGAAAGTTATCGAGAATGGATTTATTAGGAAACTTATGATTGCTTCTGCTATCTATTTTTTAAAATTGTAAAGATATAAAATCTTCCCTTTCTACCACCTCTTCTTTCCATTCTCTTGCTAAGATTTATCTTTCTTTTTTTTCAGTTGACAATCAAAACTTCCTACAATTATGTGCAGTGACCATAAATCTTTTATTGGAAATGCCTGTATCATGTTCCAGCAGATATGCTGAGTAATAGTTTAGGAAATTTGGACCAAAAATGAGCATACATTATCAGCTACATTGTCAGTGATTCACAGAGTCATTGATTTATCCCATTACCATTCTTGTCCTCTAAATAGGAGTGGGTATTAAGCAGTCTTAGCTTTTTCATAAAATTTATCTTCCTAGTTGGAACAACATGAAGGGAAGCTGAAAGTGGTCTGGAGGGGGAAGGAAAAAAAAAAAAAAAAAAAAAGAGGAAAAAGAGATGAAGATTGATTCCTCCTCCCTTTAGTGAGTGTTCTCAATTAGGTAAACTGATTAGCAGTGAGGTCATCAGTCACAACTGGAAGGTAATTTGAAAATGAATTAGCTTAGAAGTAACAATTTCTGCTCCATGGACTCCAGTAGCAAACAATTCAATTTTGTAACAGAGCTCATAAAGTGACTGAGATCGATGCTGACCTCACGTGCCATTAGGCAGTGGGCATGCTCCTGTGGCAGCTGTGGCTGCAAGTTTCCCTGCTGGGTTTCCTCTGCTCCATGCTCACTTTTAGCAGGTGTTGCTAGTTGATTATTTTGCCTCTAGGAATAAACAATTCAAGGGAATTTGAATGGGTGAAACTGTTTTCACTTCTCTTGAGAATGAGTTTCTCAAGATAAAACCAGTGGCAGGAAGAGTGAAGGGTTACTTAAAAAGCCTTTGTAGCAGCAGAAAAATGACAAATCTGCTCTGTGAATACAGAAGTCTTTAGCCGCATAGCATAGATTAACACAGGAGCTCATGCCATTCACTGATTCTGGTCAAGTTTTTGGGCCCTGTGCACATAGTAGGAGGAAAACCTTTTTTCCTACGCTGTCTCCAGGTTTCATTTTTTTTCCCACAGAAACCTTGACATCACTCCAGCACCTCTTCTGATCCACTTTTTTTCTTGAAATTTAGGATTACAGCCCATCTAGACATGTTGGGTCCCCATTTGCTTTCAAACCCTATAGGTTAAGAACCAGTTGGGCCCCAAGGCTAGTCTGCTGCAGGTCCTTTCAGCAGGCACAGTGATGGGGATGGGTGACAGAGTCTGAAATCTGCAACATCAGGTTGTTGGCCAAGCAGCTAATGGGTGGCTGCCACCTGATTCAAGATGCTCAGACATTTACCACCAATTCAGGTTGGATGTTAGGAAAAATTTCTTCTCAGAAAGAGTGGTGATGTACTGGGAGTCACTGTCCCTGGAGGTGTTCAAGAAATATGTAGATTTGGCACTGATGAATATAGTTAGTGAGCATGCTGGTGATGAGTTAACGATTGGACTAGATGGTCTTAATGATCTTTTTCAACCTTCGAGATTCTATGATTCTATAATTGCTTTCAATAAATACAGTGTTAGTTGGCATAGAAGCTTAGATGTGAGACTGAATGTATTTCTTGCCACCAGTGAAGAGAAACAACAACTTGTGGTCTAGATCAACTCAGGTGCATGGTTCAGATAAGTGTTGTTTTGGCACGATAAGGCTGGAGTAATATGGTTTTCTTGCAGCAAGAGTTAAGACTTGATATCATTTTCTACTCTAGGTTTGAGCAAAAACTTTGGGCTAATATATTAGAATTTCATATGTTATTCATTTGGATAAGAAGGGTATTTGGATAAGCCTATAGTATTTCATTTAAATAAATTCTGATTTTTGCAAGTTTTGTTTTTATTTAGATACAGAAAATAAACTTTCGAAATGGATATTGATTGTAATATGAAAATATCAACAATTTGAAAGCATAACATGGAAGTCCAAAAAAGCTGGGTTTTTTTCTTTGTTTTTTCCTGACAAGGACTTGTAACAAGCAGATATTTCTAAAGATAAATCATGATAATCACCTATTTTTACCAATCTGCAATAACAATTTAAATTTAAAACCAAAATTTGACTGAAAATTGAAGAAGATAAGTAACTAGATTTCATGCTCTACGCATAGGGCATATGCAATTCATGGTTATATTTTGCTATGAAACAGTCCAAAAAAAAAAAAAAAAAAAACAATAGAACGTATTGAGACTATTGAGGAAAATTATTTTTAGATGAAGTGTTGGTTAAACTCTCCAAATTCACCCATTCTATAGCTCCCCCAGTGACATGGATGGTGTGATGATAAAGCAAATTCTTCTAAACCTAAAAATAAACCTTTGTACTATCTTTATTATTTCCTGATTCAGTTTTTCAGTGTGCCTGATTTTTATTTTTATTTTTTCATGCAAGGAATGAAAGAAACGTACTCCAAAGACTTCCTGGCAAATTAAGTGGAAGGAACTTCTTGTGCCTTTTTGATACAAAACGTATTAGCAGATGAGAAACATTGTGTTCTTTTGTGAAGCCACACATCCTTGAGTACTGTGCTGACATCTTGCAAAATGAAGCCATCAGCAATGTTTGAGTGTGAGCATCCATGTCCCAGCTGAGGCTTTATTATGCTCTACAGCCAGGCAGGCATTGTATCCATGGCCTTTCTCATGCTTCCCTCTAGGCAAGGAGACTTTGGCATATTTGATCTATAACTAACCACGACTCACAAAGCCTTGACAAAGACTGCTGTCATATGTACTGGAGACAGATCCTCAAATCAGAATGTAGAATTAAATCCATGTGCTCCCCAAGCCCTTTTATAAAGCAGAAGTGGAGTTACCCAGTTTGTGTAAGCTGACTTAACTCCATTGAGGTATATAAAACTACTCTGATTTATAGCACCTAAATGTGGTCTGTGGTGTTTCCATTTCACTTCTGGTCTTGTGGATGTATAGAAGATAGGAAAGAAAAGAAAAAAAACAAGCCTAGGATCTGACCAACTCCAAGTGTACTAAATATGGTACATGACATGAAGGAATTCAAACCAGTCTGAGTGTCTCCTTTCTCAAATGTTCTTGAAGAATTATGTCCATGTCATTCTGTAAATCAGATTGACACCTTTGCCATTTTAACTGCAAATGAGTATGTCAGGAGGATGGGTCATTTAATTAAGCTTCTCCTTGCTTGAGAAAAGAGATCAAGATTTATCATCTGAGATACTATAGAAGGAATGAGAACACATCACTTGTCATTCCTGGGTCTGCTTTGCAGTACACTCCCACTAGTGAACTTTCCTGAAGATGTAATTCTGCTTCCTGATCTATTCTGTAGTCTGAGACTTTACATTGCTCTGGGGCTTTTATGCTTTTCATTTGTTGTGCCTTGTCATGTCAAACAAGGAATCATAAAATCCTTAGAGTTGGAAGGAAATTTTAAAGGTCATTTGGTCCAACTCTCCTGCAACAGGACATCCACAACTAGATCGAGTTGCTCAGAGCCCCATCCATCTTAGCCTTGAAAGTCTCCAGAGATGGGACATCAACCACATCTCTGGGCAACCTGTTCCAGTGCTTCAACACCCTCACTGTAAAATATTTTTTTCTTCATCTCAAAACTAAATCTACCCACTTTAAGCTTGAAAATATTTCCCCTTGTCCTAATACCACTGACCCTGCTAAGGAGTGTGTCCCCTTCTTTTCTGTAGCTCCTCTTGTGATACTGAAAGGTTGCTATCAGGTCATGTCTCCAGGGTGAACAGCTCCAGCTCTCTCAGCCTGTCCTCATAGGAGAGGTGCTTCATTTCCTGGATCATCTTGGATGATCCAGCCTTCTCTGGACTCACTCCAACAGGTTCAGGTCTCTCCTGTACTGAGGGCTCCTCATCTGGATGCAGTACTCCAGGTGAGGCCTCACCAGAGCAGAGTAGAGGGATAGGATCACCTCCCTTACCCTGCTGACCATACTTCTTTTGATGCAGCCCAGGAAATGGTTGTTCTTTTGGGCTCTGAGGATGCACTTCTGGCTTATATCCAGCTTCCCATCCACCAGTACTTTTGGCAGGACTGTGCTCAGTCCGTTATCCTCGAGTTTGTTATTGGTAGCAGAATTTGCCTCAACCCCTGTGCAGGACTTTGCACTTGGATTTATTGATCCTTATGATCAATATCCTTCTGGACCCACTTCTTAAGCATGCCTGGGTTTCTCTGGTTGGCATTCCATCCCTTGGGTGTATCAGATGCACTTCACAGCTTGGTGTCATCCACAAACTTGCTGAGGGTGCACTCAATCCCACTGTCAGTGTTGTTGATGAGGATATTAAAGAGTATCAGTCCCAGCACTGATCCCTGAGGGATGCCATTCATCTCTTATCTCTGTCCAGACATGGATCGATTGATCAGCATCAAGACTGTGTGCATGCAATTGTTTCAGCTTCATAAGCACATGGAAATATTCACAGTGAAATACAATTTCAGATAGCTAGAGAATCCCCAAGTTTTTTTCATATGTTCTTCTTTCTCTGTGAGCATATATATTTGTTTGCTTTGTATTTAAGCCTTTGTATATGCATTTTTCTGAGAGCTGCTTTAGAGAACATTTTAAATCCACTATGCATATTATGAACCATAACTTATTTCCCTGTATTTAGTCTTATATTCTCAAATAAATCTACAGCTATTTAAGACATCTGGGACGTAAATAGTGTCTTTATTCATGTCAAAATTATCAGTGAAGAAAGCGTCCCTAACACTGAAAGTAAACAGTTGGTAAGAATGACTCAGAGATCTGGATACTGTTGGATCTCAGGTGTTCATGAGAAATGTGTATTGGTTATTAAATGTCTTTAAACCAGTTACAGATCTCCTCTGTCCTGGTCTCCTTGGGTAACTGCACTCACTCTGTAAATAGTGACTCACCATTGCTAATTCTCTTACTGGCAGATAGGATTGCCACTAGACTATGTGTGATGAGAAAGCAAGATACCAAATAATCACCCATTGATTCATAAGGGATTTCCAGGAATCTAGAACAGACTTCTCCTCCCAGTAGGCTTAACCACGAATCAGTCAAAAGGTTTATATATTAGCATCTGAGTAACTCAATGTCAGTATATACCTACTAATTAAGTCAGCATCCTATCATGTATACAATGAATAGATTTACCACTCCAAGAATTCAGTCTAAGCGCTCTTAATACAGCCTGATGAACTTCAAATTGTTTATACAGTGGCACTGACATGAACAAATTCTGGAATCCCAATTAACTCTTCTGTTAACTTAGAAGATGCATTTAATATTTAATATCTTTCTGTCCAGATCATATTTTTTTTTTCATTCAATCAAATGGACAAAAGATCCCTTTCTTCTCAATGCCTGATGTAACTATTTATATAGACTTATGTAATAGTTAACACAAGTCTATGGGACTGGAGTACAAAAGTGATCATGTTTTTTTGTTTGAAGGAAAAGATGTAATACCTAGCAAAGGCAGAATTCATATTGCACAGTCCAATGGATTTGTTCACAGCCATATGCCAACAAGGCTTAATGTGTAACCTTTCCCATTAATTCTTGATCTGCTCAAGTCCTCTGCTGACAAATTGCAAGGCAGGCAAGTTTTACAAAGCAAGACCAGTCCATAATGGTGTCTTGCGGACTACCTTCAGGCTCCCTCTTCTGGATATTTATGCATTCATGAGCTTAAGAACCTGCTGTGTTTTATGCATATGTACTGCTGTAGGTTGTTTGGGCCTTTACAGCATATGCTTTCCTTACGTGCCCTGCATGCTACATTGTGATATATGCAATTGCACAGGTCCTTTAAAAGGTAGATTTGGTATTTTTAATAAGACCTTTGAATTCAAACCTTCAGGTGATTTTTCATGTTATTGGCTGTTTCTTCATTATTTTGGGTCCCACGTTTTAAAAATTATGACTGCTATGCACTTACAATTCAATATGCCATTTAATGGTATAGGGTGGGGTTTTTGGCCTTGTTCTATTAAACACACTCTAGAATATTGCTTTGTCTCCCTATACACAGGTGTTATGAGGGTTATTTATATTTTAAAGGCTATAGTATGGTCCCTGTAATTTCATATTCTCCTCCCATTCAAAATGAAAAAAAAAAAAAAAAAAAAAAAGACATTTTTATTAATCATGAATGGTTTAAATTTGTCTCTTTAATGCATCTCCCAGGAACTTGAAACACCTGCTGTGTTAGCCCATGCCTTAGAAGAATTGAGAGGTTATATATTAGGTTGAAGCTTATGGATTAAAATAAAGCTTTTCTTTATAGGATTTCCACCTGGGAATGACTGCTCTACAATTCTATAAAAACAATAAGAAAATTTGTTTCCAGCCCCAATGTCTTTAGAACATAAAAAAAATTAACACAGAAATATAACTTGAACAAAGTTGACAAAAAAGAGTATGCCATGGGAGAATCACAAATTTTGCCCTGCCAACATCCTGAGACCTGCTGTTTTCCCTGTGGGTATCCACATGGCTTTGATTTTCTCCTGGTTATAAAAAAAACATAAACATTGGCAAATGCACTGAAGAAAGAGGACTGACTCCATTGTGTGAACTAGCACTTGATGCTGTCTGCCTTGGTAGAGTCTCAATTTGACTATAGAGATGATTTCATTTGATTTTAATTTGAGAATGTTTTATATTTGACTAAAATCAAAATGAAATTCTCTTTGTTCAGATGAGTAAATTGTGACAGTTTAATTCTATATAGATTTGATGACAGTTAACCTTAGCTCCCTCGTTGTTTTTGTTTGTTTGTTTGTTTTCTTTTCCTTAATATTTAAAGGAATATGCACATCTCTGTTGAGTATAAAGAAAGAAAATTGAGAAAATCTACATAGCACGATAAATCAACATTTAGTAATTTTCTCTGTAGCTTGTGTACAATGGAAGAATGAAATTTAAGGTCATATTCAGTCCTGCAGGCAGCTAGTTGCACGAGATGAGGTGACAGATTTAGTCAGAGAAAACTTTGGCCTCCTGGTATTGTGGCTGCAGTTGCTATTTGGCTAAGCTGTGGTGTTGGCAGTGAGAACAGATTTATGCACATAAAGCTGCCATTCTATTAGGGTTTTTTATAACACAAAATGCACTTCTCAAGTTGTACCTTCGTCTGAAAAGAGCTGAAAGAAAGAAGCAATTGAGTATCAAGAGAATGGTACCAGATGCTGGCCTTTTGACACCAACCAGTGGGCCACGGCTGAGCACTTCCTCAGCATACCGTGCTTTCAGCCACTTCTGCTACCTTAAGAAACCTTCATAATAAAAAGTACTATCAAAACCAAAGAGTTATACGAGCTCTGTGTGAAAAATAAACAAATAAGCAGGAAGGTGATAAAACATAGCATGTGCTTCTGCATTTAATTCACAAGCTTGATATAGGTTTTTGAAGGACTGTTTCTTACCTTTCTAACATCAGTAAAATCAGTAATTATACATGGTAGGACAGTGGGGAGACTGTAAAGAATACTCTCCACGTGAAGCACTTAAATTGGGGTTCTGGACATCTATCTTCATATCCCTGCCTCCACTGGTCTTTCTCTGTGTATACAGAAACAAATACATACATTAAGCTGCTTGTTTCAGTTCACATTCCATAAAACTGGAATTACAAGTTTTATCTTCTTCTGATGTTTTATCTCTACTTTTCTGGAGGGATTTTAGGATCTTTAGGGCTGAGTGTGTTTTTTACAGCTTCAGATTCCATCTTCAGATTCTATGATTGTGAGTTGTCCTGTAGCTAACTCCTCAGTTAACTCCTTTGCACCTTTAGAGTATCTTTTAGCCCAAAATCTCCAAGCAGCTTGC